CAACTTCAACTTTGAAAAACTTCTTTCGTTGGAGGCAACAGTGATAGAATAGTCAATATTACTCTATAAGTAATACGAACATTTTCATAAAAACAATTCATTCTCTTGACATAATTGACACATCAATTGCTCTATTAGTTTCAGTTGGTATAGTTTTCCTTAAACTTTCAACTCAGAAAATAATTCTACCTCATCAACGTCATAAACCATATTATGCTTCAAGTAATGTTCAATAATATGAATCAATTAAAATCATGATTTAAATCATAAAAAAAGTTATTATTTGATAGATTAGTGGCCATATATACTTTGATGGAATGTGTTTAAAATTGTAGCCAATAAGAAAATGGACCTATATACTGATAGATATGTTTTTGAACATATAAATTAAAGAAAAGACGACTTATGTGGTTGAGTTTTATTGCATATGTTATTTTGATATAAAGAGACTCTTCTTGACAAGAGAAATGCAATCTCAGTACAATACTCTAAAGAATTTTTCCATCTGTACAGAAAAATCTCCTACAGAAATTCAACAAAAAACTCACATGGAGGTGAGCCCTACGTAAAATTAAATATTGCCAAAAATGCGGGCCCCACCCGTGTTATGTGTGTTCTGACAGTTTTCAGTATGCATAGTTTCTATACACACAGCAAAACTGTACTCTAAAAGAGGGAGTAGACTAACAATAATGATGTGTACTAAAATGTGTGGTACTAGGCAATGAGACTGTTGCCATGCAACATAGAAAACAAGATATGAAACACAAGCAATTAAATGCTTATTTGATAGTGTTTTTAAGTGCTTATAAGTTATGGATTATACGAAATACATAAATAAATACTGGATAATAAATTATAGATCTTATGAAATGTGAGAATAAAAAGTATTTTGACGTTTTTTTTTTAAAAAAAAATTCCAAACATGCACTAAAAGTGATAAAAATGCTTGACGAGAACCAAAAAGTGGGAAAGGAAAGGATTCTACCAATGATGATAGAGAACATGAAAAAGAGGATTCTACAGAAAAATTAACAGAAGACCACTACAAATATTTTCATCAAGAGATCCCTCAAAACTTGAGGCCATGGGCCATTGGTAAGGTGACTTTGACCCATTGCCAAGCTTGTTTTAACTATTAAACTATAAGGATGTAATTCAAATTACATTATAATAATACCATATAATGTATTCCAGTTCACCCCTCTTAACATGTGGAACAACATATAATTTACATATTCTCAGACCCAAATTCTCGGGACCAAAAAGAAGAAATAATTAATTAACAAAGGAAACATGGAGAAAATTACTAAGACAGTCATCTTGATCCTTGAATCACCAGCTTCTTCGATGGACATCTTGTCGAGGAGATTTATGATCTGTTGGTCCATTGATGACACTTCTTGGAGAAGAGAACCTTTCATTATTCACGATCTCTTTTTCACTCAATTTTCTTACATATTCCTTCTTCCTCTTTGGTTTTCTTGAACTTGAACTCTCTCCTCCTTTTATTGTAGGTATCAAATACCACCCAATAGACGTGCACAATATGGCGAAATATCGTCCATAAACAGCAAGCAGAATCAAAATCAAAATGATAATCATCGGAATATAGTAGCAGGGTTGCCTTAATTTTTGCCACTTGAAGTTTCTACATACCAAGCACTTATGCTTTCGCTTTGGATTAGGTTCCGAAACCTGATCATCACTTGCATTTGGAGCCTTTAAGGTTTCGACTGACACCTTGTCTGATTGAGCTTCTGATGAATTCTGTTGGACTTTGACATCAGGAAGATTGGGTTTTTCTTGCTTTTTCTCCTTCACTTTAACCACAATAGGCTCGACATCATTTGAATTCGAGTACACAAACCGAACAAAAGAAATATCTTCTGAGCCATTTTGTGTGTAAATCTTCTGCCTCTTCTCATCAAGATCAGCTAAAAGTGCATAAAATTTGTCCAAGCCACGATCTGCATAAGGGTTCTTGCTTTCGTTTCTGAAAAAACCTGTGCCCTTTTTGGATCTCTTTGGTGTAGAACGGTGACTCCATGTTTCAGGGACATCTTCTACTTGATGATCGAAACTTCCACTGCCACAAATGAGCATTTGAGATTTTTGGGAGAAATTTGGATTGATGAAACAAGAAATAAAGTGGATGGAAGACTTGATCAATAGGTGCTTTCTAGTCAAAACAAATACACAAAAATGTATAATTCCAGGAAGCTTCTATTGGTTGTAGATTTTAGATTTGGATGTTTGACTTCTTGCAGAGGGGTTAATGAATTGTTTTTCGAGGGCTTTTGAGTAATTTTTGCATTGTTAATTATATACTTGCATGTTGTTTTCACACTAGATTTGAAAAGTCTTCAAGTCTACCATGATGATATTCACACAGTTCCAACTATGATTAAAAGTAAGTTTAGCTTTTACATAAATTTTAGTTTTTCAAACATATTTTATCTTCTTAGATTGTTTTGAGTAGAGGTAAAGATTACTTTCGAAATAACTTTCAAAATTTGAATTTCTTTTACAAGACTTTGCATTGTTGGTTTTAATCTATTTCTAGAACAATAAGTTAGTTGACAGTCTTAAAAACGAGCAAGTTGGCTCTCGACTGTCAATATAATAATTATATACAAGTTGTCAACAACGAAAATCATTCAAATTTTCACTAAAATCGTCATGTGACTCCAGCATGTCAAACTTTGTATGGCTAAATATTGTTTCCAACTTGAGTTGGCAGTCTAAAAATTAGAAATTTAGCATCGTTTCATAAGGCTATGTAACAATTTAACAGAGGTCTTTCTATTGAGAATGATTTTGTAATTGTAATAAAACTCTAGGGCTTTTATTTAAAGAATGAATCTTATTCAAAGGTGGAGACCAATTTGCTACCCAAGCAACAACTTGAGGGCCTAGGATATAACACTCCATATTTATTGGGCCCTGTTTGGGAGAGATTCTCAAAATTCTACAGTAAATCAATTCTCATTTTCAACCACATATTTTTCAATAAAATAATATTTTACATCACATCAATAATTTTTTCTTCTTTTTCAACCACACATTTCCCATCATATCACTATTCAAAATCAATTNTTGGAGCCTTTAAGGTTTCGACTGATAGCTTGTCTGATTGAGCTTCTGATGAATTCTGTTGGACTTTGACATCAGGAATATTGGGTTTTTCTGGCTTTTTCTCCTTCACTTTAACCACAATAGGCTTGATATCATTCGAATTCGAGTACACAAACCGAACAAAAGAAATATCTTCTGAGCCATTTTGTGTGTAAATCTTCTGTCTCTTCTCATCAAGATCAGCTAAAAGTGCATAAAATTTGTCCAAACCACGATCTGCATAAGGGTTCTTGCTTTTGTTTCTGAAAAAACTTGTGCCCTGTCTGGATCTCTTTGGTGTAGAACAAGGGCTCCATGTTTCAGGGTCATCTTCTACTTGATGATCGAAACTTCCACTGCCACAAATGAGCATTTGAGATAAGGGTTTTGATTGGTTTTCTCTCTTTTTTGTTTTTTTTTTGGGAGTAATTTGGATTGATGAAACAAGAAATAAAGTGAAGAGGTACATAGCATTTATTCAAGGTTATTGGAAGACTTGATCAATAGGTGCTTACTAGTCAAAACAAATACACAAAAATGTATAATTCCAGGAAGCTTCTATTGGTTGTAGATTTTAGATTTGGATGTTTTGACTTCTTGCAGAGGGGGTTAATGAATTATTTTTCGAGGGCTTTTAAGTAATTGTTGCATTGTTAATTATATACTTGCATGTTGTACCTAATGCTGTTTTGACATCAGATTAAAGAGATTTCACACTAGATTTGAAATTTCTTTAAGTCTGCCATGATGATATTCACCCTGTTCCAACTATGATTAAAAGTAAGTTTAGCTTTTACATAAATTTTAGTTTTTCAAACATATTTTATCTTCTTAGATTGTTTTGAGTAGAGGTAAAGAGTACTTTTGAAATTACTTTCAAAATTTGAATTTATTTTACAAGACTTTGCATTGTTGGTTTTAATCTATTTCTAGAACACTAAGTTAGTTGACAGTCTTAAAAACGAGCAAGCGGGCTCTCGACTGTCAATATAATAATTATATAATAAGTTGTCAACAACAAAAATCATTCAAATCTTCACTAAAATCATCATGTGACTCCTGCATGTCAAACTTTGTATGGCTAAATATTGTTTCCAACTTGAGTTGGCAGTCTAAAAATTAGAAATTTAGCATCGTTTCATAAGGATATGTAACAATTTAACAGAGGTCGTTCTATTGAGAATGATTTTGTAATTGTAATAAAACTATTGTGCTTTTATTTAAAGAATGAATCTTATTCAAAGGTGGAGACCAATTTGCTACCCAAGCAACAACTTGAGGGCCTAGGATATAGCACTCCATATTTATTGAGGCCCTGTTTGGGAAGGATTCTAAAAATTCTACAGTAAATC